AACAAGTTCACAGTCACGGGAAAATGAAACAATATGCTTTCGACATATTTGGATTCAAAACACTTTTTCAGGGAGCGTCCATAAGTATCCGGAATTGCTTTTCAAAAACGATCTCGACCAGCGGAAAGAGTGTACGCGACTGAGAGTCTCGAGGACACTGTTTTCCCCGTACTCTTGCGGACTGTGTGAAAGGCGGAAGTTTCAGTAAGCGATGATGTAACAGTATCATCTGATCTCGGGAGGGATAAGAATGTTTCACTGCCAACTTTTGTATCTTTTAATTTGTGTTTTAAAGACTTGCAGCATGTCCTTAGTGTTAAATGTTTGAGCTTGTTATTATGCGGCGACTTAAATCCGAGTAGACCTACTTTGGACGACCCAACAGAGTTCGAAGTCACTGAGTACGTTAGACCATTACGTAAAAGTACTTGAAGAGACAAGTTCGTCGACCAAAACTTGATTTGAGAGGAAGAGAGGGAGAATTTTGGAATGCTTTTTGGCCAGTGTGAGTAAAAAATAGGTGTTTTAAAACACAAACGGCTGTACGTGTGAACGGCCGAGAACTACAGGGAAACGATACGCGTGGACGCCCCTTTTTCTGAAGATGAAGCAAAACAAATTATTTTGAAATTAAAGATGTAGAGTATACTTATGCACGTGGCCTGAATTATTAAAACCTTACGCAACGTATTGTGTCGGATATAATGACAAATGATAAGAATGTTCAATTATGTTTCACTAACCAATCACATTCAGCCCACCACTTAGAAACGAGCCCCCCTACTAGGTGAAGGATCGATTAAAACAAACTAGCGGTCATTGGATTAACGCCCTTCAGGTTTGTGGTTCCAACAAGTCACATCAGCGTGTTCAACTGCAAGAAAAAGGTGAGATTTTGCAATATTGAGTTCTAAACTTCCTGGTTTATAGCATAAGCGGATAGCTACCTTAAATTAACAAGTGCCTTGTGCGTTTTCTAAATGTTACTGACGTAAGAGCCAATCAGGCGACAGACTAGCTGATCGCCAGAACCCTATGTTTTTGGACTCAGTGACAAAACTGACTCTATATGTGCGGGTTTTTCGTTCTGTTTGTTTGTTTGTTGGATTTTTTGTCTATAACCATTCTATTCAAGAGATCTGTTTGTATGCAAACGTTAACTAGCCTTATAGATAATCACTCACGCCTCAAATAACCTCTGACAGCTCGAACTGTGCATAATCAGTTGATTTGCGGTTGCAGATCGGGGTAAACCTAGTCGTATCCACCCTGTGCTGTATACTGGCGGTATATATTTCAGACATTACACGGTTTTATTTAACAACTCACCTGTTATCCCCGGAAAAATAGAAATTAATAATTCTTTAAAATTCAGTTAAACAGTTTGAATATTAATTGATTCAGTCTGTTGCAAAAAAAAAAAACAGGCAGAGAAGTAGAAATTTCCTTTTTACTTAGCATTTCTATGCTATGAGTATTCGTCCTTTCAACCCTTTGGATTACTTTTATACATATTTGGAAGTTTACCATGGCAGATTTGTAAATTTGGAGACAAAAATTTTAAAAATGGCCCAAACGAGACACAAGCAGATCATTTGAAAAGCTATTCATTCATGATTAAACAATGAGCGAATTCATAAAATCAGAACGCTCCAACAACATGACTCGGCCTGTCTTCAGGCAATTTTCTGGATGAAAGATGTAATGTCTATATCTTTAAACTTGCAAAAGGATGGCTTCGTAAAAGAGGTCTGTCCAGTCTTGATAAAGTGGAACGTGACTGATTCGCGATGGTTGACTGGGTGCAACAAATAATTTATGATTCATGATTACGGTCAACGAGGCATCAATTTTGTCTGCAATCCAGAAAGTTCTTTATTTCCCTTTCGATGCAAACTGACTGGCGGGAAATGAATCAACAGTGAAGCAGAGTCGTTCCAAAACTTAAGACTGTAGGACAGGTGGAATTTTCCTAAAGATTCGCCTGCAGAATTCGCGTTCACACCAATAAAAAAAACCGTTGGTGTAAAAGGCTTTTTTTTTCTTGCAAAAAAATGGACTCATGACTACGGGCAACAAGGCATTAACTTTGCCTGTTATCCATAAAGTTATTAATTTTTTTTAGTGCAAACTGATCGGCGGGAAAAAATAAATGAGCAAAGAAGCAGGGCCGTTTCAAAACTCAAGACTGTAAGAGACAGTGGAAATTTTGCCAATAACTCGCTTGCAAACTTCGAGTTCACACCCATAAAAAACCGCTGGTGTAAAAAGCATTTCTTTAGTGCAAAAACCGAAACACAGAGAGTAGGTAAATTCATTATGTGGCTGTTTAAAGCATTTTCGGAAAGGCCAGATCCTTTCTGCTACAGCTACAGCTTCAACTAGGCGCATTCAGTACTGATTACGTAACACACCTGGTCGCCTTTTGAAGTTCACCAGGTTTTAATTGAAAATGTTATAAATCACTTTCACGCAGCTTAATTTTGGGTGTGTGCAAACTTTTCAAGAACCACTAAGAATGCGGTGCTGAGGTGAAAGGCTACTTGAGGTTAAAATATGTTGCGGGGTGTATCCGCCCGAGGGACTTACAATCGCAAGATAAAATAGGAAGAATAGTGAATAGCGAACTTATTGTGTTTACAGTAAATACTTCGTTTTGAATTTGAACCTCGAAGTTTTAACTATTCGGTCGGACAAGAAAAGAAACTCCAGCTTGCGATATGTAATGACCTTTTTCATTTATTTTATTTTTCTCCACTCTTGGGGTAAACTAACCCAACAAACAAACTTGATTTGAACGTATCAGTAACAGTTGAAACAAAGGTAAATCAAAGCAAAAGAATTTGGTATAAGCCATCTGAATTTGAAAGCTATAAACGCCGGAAAGGGCAAAGTTCAAAAGAACCCTTTTGTTTTTGGTCCTTAGATAGGGATAGTCGGAAAACGCGCGATGTATCCGTAACAAAATGATTTTGAACTGTTTTCATTTTTCGGTGTCATTTTTCGGCTTTTTAAAAAGGGTATGTTTTGAGTCCTTTAATAACGAACCTTGCACATCCCTATCCAAAAGATGTTGATGATAATCAATTTCAAGATGTTGATTTCTGATCTATCTTTCTAAACTCAGTCAATTCCATGAACGAGGTAAATAATTTGTGCCTCGCTCTCAGTTAGTGAGAGGTACAAATATTAATTTCCACATTAAAGGCAGCAGATCATTTCCATATAGATGGGTTCCAATAAACTTTTTTATGTAAATCGACTTATTGTTTTGAGATGAATTCGAAAGATAACAAACCATCTTTAAAAGAGTCATTTACTCATACCTGGCCTCTTGTATATCTACCGGTATCAAGCGGTTGCATACATGATTTTCTAAAAAATAAAACAGATTAATGGTAATATCGCCGACTCTGAACTGTTTAATAAGCACTAAACAGTCACTCGTTGGTCCTAACTGGCTATTCAGTCAGGCCCTGTAGATTTTGATTGTGTAGTCCGTATGAGAGCTAACTTTGTCATCGTAGAAAGCTTCTAGAATTTTACGTTTTCTATTAAAAAAGGCTGTCCTCGAAAATATTTTACTTTTTGGCAGCCATTTTAACAATTTAGTTCAGAAAAGTTTTTTGACGTCTGCCCTCAAGTTAGCTGAAATCACACTGATTCATTTGGCAAATGAGAGGAGTTGATTTGAACAGTCACCGTCCTACATCGTATCTCTGTCTCTTATGTGCCTCCTATTCTGTGGTAGGTAAGCCAGCCCTATTCTCATTTGAACGAACATGGTACATTGTTAGTAGTTTGATGCTGGACACCTATTAGGCCAGCGCCAGGGTTAGGCTGGATTTTTAGATCCGGCAAATTAACTATTGGTTGATACTGCTGATAACCATAGACCGTAGACCTTTTAAACTCTGACATATTGCTTGCTAGTTGTTTTTTTTTGTTGTTGTTGTTGTTTTAACGCCATTAATGTAGTCGACCATGACGTATTGCTGCACAAAAGCATCGAAATGTGAGTTATGTGTATAATACTAAGTCACTTGAATGGTCCAAATCATACAAAAATATTTTGTTAATAGCGAGTTATCATTATCTTGATATTTGAAATGTGGCGTACTGCAAGGTTCTATTTTGGGTCCTCTATTTTAATAATGTTATGAATGACTTACCAAACTGTTGCAAAATTCTGCTCCAAAAATTTATGCAAATGACATCAATTTAACCACATCGGGTTCGCCATGTCAGGTAGTGGTGAGACAAATTATATTACTGAGCGGTTAAATTCGAACCTTTAAAAGATAACGCAGTGGTCACCAGACGTAATGGCAAATAATGTCACTAAAACAGAGTGGATGTCTGTCCGTTCGATTCCGAAACCTTTATATTGGTTTCGTTTTTTCGCTTCTCTTCGCGCCAGGATTACTGATTTAATCATGGTTTGACTACAGCGACGTCTTTTGGTATAATTTACCGGTGACCTTACTCAAAGCCTTCGTAAAATCAACCAGCGCGAGTTATAACTGCTTGGTGATAGAAAGGAGGGAAACGAAAGGGAGGGTCTCCCCTCTTTTGTCCATCGAATCACCCCTCGCGCTTCCCCTTAACCGCTCTTCTCTCGTTAATCTTAATTGGAGACTGAGAAAGGAATGGGAATGAGACAGCTGACCAACATCAATTTTCTCCTAACGACATCAGCCGATCATAAAAAGTTATAGGAGAATTACTAAATTGATTACCAAAGGGAGAACGCTTTGATCTTGAACGAAATCCCCTCAACTATTCGTAAAAGAAATGTGTGGAGATCAGTCTGGAGAAGTTGTAGGTGGATTGTGGGCATAAAGGGTTAATTGGCTTGGATCTCGGGAATCGACCTTTACTGCGAGCACCACTGAAGCAAGCATGTTATGAAACAAATTATGCCGAATAATAACGCACCCAAATACCTCCAACTCAAAGTACGAGATACAGTCTTAGTAGTGCTGCTCTTCCTTCTTTCAGGAAAATTATTGCCAACAGCCATGGCGAAGACTTTGTTGACTTTTGTATGCTTAATTGCTGGAGTGTCCTTTGCCTTGGCAGCCGGTAAGTGAGTGCATATGAACTCTAAGGCAAAACAAACATTCAGTATTTCATGGTTCATTGCGGCAGGAAAAGGTTAAATTGGTAGATCGCTGGCCTGAAGTACGGAAAGTCGCGGGCTTCATTTCCAGGGCCAATATTCAGGGTCCTCAGTAAAATAACTGGGGAAGATTGTACTGCGCGCCTTTATTCAAGTTCTCTGTAAATTTTCTATGGCACTGATTTCACCAATGTAAGTGGCACGGCAGTCGCAGCATTTTTTCTTGTATACTGCTCCCTGTCTGTCCTGTCTCCCTGTCTGTCTGAAACCGGCAGAAACCTTAGCACGCGACTGACTGAACACAAACGAGCGACAAGAAATAATAACGTCAACAATCATATTGCTGAACACCATTTACAGACCAAACATTAAATCAACTGGGACTCTGCGACAAATTGTATTACATGTTCTGCAGAATACTACTCACTTTAGAAAGGTGGTTTGCTAACTTAGAACAAACTCAACTCACTTAGTCTGAAGATGACTACCACACAGGTTGCCGAAACGTCAGTCACTGTTAACAACAGTCCTATTCAGCAGGACTAAGTTCACCCGGACGATCATGTTCAACATACTTGTTGACTTCAAGAGCCATTAAGGCTCTTGTTGACTTTTATTGTAAACTTGTACTGAATGTGTAGATAGACTGATGACGATGATGATGATGATGATGATTATTATTATTATCATTATTATTACTATTATTATTATTTCTCACTTTTTATTGTTATTATTATTACTCAATTATTATTATTATAATATCATAGGTGACGAATTACTCCTTAATTTTGGCGCGAAATTTCAGCGTTAATTTGTAATTTCACATGTGAAATTACAAAATTGCCATGGCAACCCTTCCGTACGTCTCAGTGTCAAGATGGCGACGAAGTTTTAAAATGCGGTGAATGAAGATGTCAGGGCACAAAAAAGACGCTTTAGAAAACCTGAACACACAAGAGATCAAGAAGAATTCTAACAGGTATTTTGCCGAAAAAGTCTGACAATTTCTGAACTTTAAAAGCCAAATTTAAGGTCTAAACATTTGAGAGAGTGGAGTTCTCGATCGATACGATCCAGGATAAACATGTCAAAAGTCCAAGATTGCTAACGTAATTCGTCACCCATGATATTAATAGGTAATCAAATGGTGACGGCTGAAATTAGGGAATAAATTCCCTCGCCTTCAGGCGAGAGAAATTATTAGGATTTGGACAAAACGCAAGTGAAATAATTCCCTAATTTCACTCGTCACCATTTGATTACACATACTTATTATTTACATATTTATTTCCTGTTGTCATTATGGTTATGACAAAGTAATTCTGTGTTAATCTTGATTCATCATTTTAATTCAAACTTTGACTGTAATATTTGTTGTTTTTCTAGATTGGAGCTATTATCAAAACCCTTCAAATGGTACTCTATATTTTTTTCTTCTTTGTTTTTAGTACTTGTATATGTTCGTCCTTCCTCCAAAACTGCGTCCTGAGATATACCTCTTTACCATCTATGGACCCATCTGAGATCATCTCAGTGCCGTCATCAACGACCTAAAACAAAAAAATTCAGTATTGTTTTCATGCGGTGAAATAACCTTTGCAAAGACAATCTGTCGCTGCCAGCAAGGGTTTCTTTTTTAAAAAAGTATAAAAATGGCATTTAACCGGGAGGGCGGTACATAACTTTGTTTTTGCTATACGGGTATGTGCTGTTCGATGGTTTCACTTTTTTACTTTCCAGGCATAGGCACCTTACCAGACTACGACGGCGACGGCAACGGGAACGTCAAAAACACAATAGGTTTTATGAGCAAAACAAATGACCCAATTTTGAGTTGACTTGAGAACGGGAACGGCAAAACGATAAATCTTACTGTTTCTCTCTGAACTCGGGTGCACGGGTCCCCTCTCTTCAGTTCCAAACTAAATTCCTTACTTTTAAGTAACTGTGTGACTTGGTATGAGGGTAAAAAAATTGAAAGGACGCAAAGTCTATTTTTCAGCGACGCTTTCACTGGCGTCACCGTTGTCGGATCTTTTTTGGCCTTTTTTTATATGCTTCGTTCACGCGGCATAGGGTGAATTCACGGACGGCTGAAAACTCTCAGTGACCGGAGCCTTCACACGTAACCGTTCAATAGTTTCCTGTGTTCACACGAAACTGACGAGCCAGGTTATAGTTAACTTTGATTTAGCATCTGCCCATGAGCCGAGCGAGCGGCATAGGTAAATCCAAAATAGCGTCCCTCATATGAGTTACCAGGCATCAACCAGACCTTTGCGGAACAAAAATATACATGTATACTGTTATGGTGTCTACGGCGCGAGACTTCCTTAAGGGGTGCAAAGATACGATGAAGAAAAATGCCCCTATCACCGGTTCACCTTTCTTTTGTTTTTCAATATACCTTGCTGGCACTGTAATAATGTAATTGCAGCGTAATTGCTTAGTAACTGTAGCATCGTGTTTAATATTTCCAAGTAAACACTAAACTAATTAAAATGCGAGGGGATTGTGTATTAATATGCAAGGTGGATAAGTGACTTATTCCCCATAATCCCCTCGCATTTTTATTAGCTGTTCATTAGCCCCGCTCTTCCCTTAACACAATCAAAGCCGCCACTCGCTTTTCAGACAGTTAGTTTGGGGGTTATTAACACTTATTTCTCTAGCCCTCATAGCCTCGGAGTCAATAGCCCATTCGGCCGAAAATTGTTTTAGTAAAATCCAACTAGTTGGTCAAACATTTCGAGAATAAAAAATTTTAGCTAGTTAAAGCTAGACTTAAATCCTTTTTTGCCGTAAAAAAGCCGGCGCTTTTCGCTACTAGTGGGCTATAACATATAGTCTAGTAGTAGCTCAACCAATCAGAACGCAGCATCGATAATAGACCACTAGTTGGATTTACTAATTTAATATATTCCCCTGAAAAGAACAAAGGAATCCGAGCTCATGTAAAAATAAGATTTTCATACTGAATTATGCCGCACATCCTCTGGTTTCATTTTCCAGGAGATCCCTCCTTCTCCCTTAGTTAGACTTTCGTCCCTTCCTTGCAAGGGAACGCTTGCTATGAATGAGACGCCGCATAACCGATTTGCGCACTTAACATCATATGGACCTTCTAACTCTTCTTTAGGACCTGACAATTGGGGAGGCGTATGCGCTACCGGGAGCAAACAGTCGCCTATAGACATCATGACCAACACAGCCATGTATGACTCAAACCTGGGTGGTTTTACACTTGTCAACTACAACACTATACCAGCTGGTGTCAATTTTACCGCTACAAACAACGGCAAAGGCTTGACAATTTCATTTGACAGCAATGTGTACAACGTAAGCGGAGGTAACCTCCCCGGAACATTCACCACCGTTCAGTTTCACTTGCACTGGGGATCAAGCAACTACAATGGATCGGAACACACTGTGGACGGGATGATGTATCCTGCCGAGGTGTGTTATTTTTGATGCTATGCGGCAGCGTTAAGCTTTGTATGATGAGAGTAATTACCTTGGTAAAAGCTGAAACGATAGCCATGAAAAAGGAAAAACGCTTCTATGTGCTTAAGTCGCAATTGGGTTTTGCTTCGCTCTGCCTTTGTTGAGTAAACGGCGCCGGATTATTTAAGCCAATTACACGAGTTGAATAAGAATTAGTCAAAGTGATCTATTGTTAGATTGATTCCTTAACAAAATTTAAATCCACCTAATACTGAAGTACAACCATACCTCCGATCAAACAAGTGAATTATACAGTGATGGCGAAAATTTTCCCGGCTCTTGCAATAAACAAGACAAATTACACAAAAGACATAAATTCTTTACTCACAAAAAAACCGCAGCAAAGTCGTAAAGAATCCTTAATGATTAGAATATCTCAATTAACTATGGAATATGTGAGACTACTTCCATTTTTCGCACATGAATATAACTTGGGATGACAGTCGTCTTCGGCTCAAACCTGAGTTTCCTGGATTTCGCCAAGCAGAGTATAAACATCATTTCAACGAATCCAAAGCATACTCAACACCTCCTTACGAACGTTTGAGTATTTTAACTTTAGGTACCTTTGTTTCTGATGCTTAGTGCCCATTGTCGTTTTCACTGTCAGTTTAAAAAAAAGGTTTTTTTCAATCTAGACGATTGTGGCGTGTTTTAAACCAACCAATAGACTGAAGCACCAGCTGAGGCATTTGTATTTCTGTGCCGCGCGTTGAGAGAATTGTTATAGTATGTTATTAAAAAAAAATTGGACCATGCTTTAAGCTTTGAGGTAGTAAAATCAACGGGAGGTTCGAGTTATAGAGGGTTCGAGTTACCGAGATTCGACTGTATATATAGAGTAATGAATGCACTTGGAAAGTTTGGAGAGCACTCAAGGAGCTAGGGTCGCTCACAGCTCTTTATCTTCTCTCGTGCTCTCCAAACTTCCCGAGTGCATTAACTCGATTTATCATATAGACACGAGTGTTTTACTGGACTATACCACTCGTAAAATTCATAAAAACTACATCCGGGACCCGAGTGGTTTATTTTCCATAATCTCACAGGTGAGTTTATCAATGACCTAATTTTGGCAATTTTCCTCTATTATTTTAATCGATGTCATTTTGTCTATATAATAAAAAGAACATTAAACGGCGGCTTGAAGATATGAATTTTTTATTTCTCGTGGCAAAAACAATATTTACTCACTCGCTGCGCTCGTTCGTAAAAAATTGTTTTGCCACTCGAAAATAACATTCATATCTTCGCGCCACCGTGTAATATCCTCTATATACGCACGCTAAGCCTGAACCAATTCTTTAAAAAGGTGGATCTTTGCGCTTCTCCTCGTTTCCGGGGCGCCACAATGGTGCGGAAAGCATTACGAAAGCATGTGGTTCGTGCATCCTTTCCGATACGTACACCACTATAGGGGCGCCTTTGAAAAAAGCGGAAAAGAGAAACAATGGGAACTGCTGCTTTTACGCACTTGTTGGAGTAAAATAAAACAAATTTAAAAAATATATATTCATTTGCGTAAAAGCGCATGAGTAAAAGCACCTTTACAGGCTCAGACAAGAAAAGGTCACCTTAATTTTGCCTTTAGACACGTCGTGGATATGTTCTATTTATAAACACAAGGCAACATGCTCCGCCAAGAATCTTGAGAAATTTTTACTTGTGGACCGGACAGCTCTTTATAAAAGCTTCCTGCACAGGACTAACGAGCTCATTTCAATTTGCAGATTCATTTTGTCAGCTATAACACTAAATACCCAGACATCGGTGAGTCACTGTCTCATTCTGATGGTTTGGCCGTCCTCGGTGTCTTTATTGAGGTAACGCATCCTTTCACTCTCAGTTTTGTTTTCCTAACCCATACTTCTTCCCAAAAGTCTCTACATGCAAGAGAATCCGCATTCCAGAATCCGGGAAATTTTTACTTGTGGAATCTGGAATGAAGGAATTTTTGTTATAACATAGCGCGCGTGCTTGCCCTATATAAGTCCTATTGAGCCGCTATGAACAAAATCTTTATTTACGCACGCCCGTGCGTAAATAAGATGACGTAAGCATTCTTTTTTTACCTGGCTGCAAAGTTGTCGTCTTTTAAGCTGCAGTGCAGTTTTCCTTCTCTTTAAAATATGGAAGAAACCAGCGAAGAAGTGCCCAATTTTTCTATCGGCATTGACCTTTTAGGTCCTGATCCAACAAGCAGCAAGAATAAAGTCGAATTAAAAAAAACTCGCAAGTTGCGCGTTTCGCAAATTTGTCGGAAGACCAGCTGCAGCAAATTTTGGCCGAAAGACATTCACTGGGAACAGAACAGACACCAACTGGTCATCAAAAACATTTAAAGGTAAAATTTCCGCTTTTATTGTTGTTTTTAAATTTGTTATGCACTTTTGTTATCTCCGGACAATCCGACTGAAGCAGGAAAATTTCTCTCGCAATAACAACACAAATTACACAAGAAGACATAAATTTATTACTCACAAAAACAACTGCTGCCAGGTCTTCTCAAGAAGCCATAATGACCAGCCCATGTTCGTAAATGAATATGAGTTTAAAGAAGGATGACAGTCGTCTTCGCAAAGACATGTTTTCTGGATTTCGCTGAGCAAAACGTAAACATCTTTTCAGCAAATCCAAACCATACTCCACGACTTCTTACGAACAGTATTTTAACTTTAGGAGAACTTTAAGACTCTTTTACCTTTGTTTCTGCTTAGTTTCCATTGATCGTTAACGAATAAAGAAGCAAATTTTCTTTCTCAGTTTTACTGAAAGAATATTTTCATTCAAACTAGACGATTGTGGCGTGTTCGTAATCAGCCAATAGAACCGTTTGTTATTGTGTAGCGCGTTACGAGAATTTTGCAGTTCATCAAAAAGCAAGCATTTTTGTCAGCTATGTTATAAAAGAATTTGCTCATGCCTTTAGCAGTGCGTATATCGAGTTATGGATGCACTTGGGAAGTTTGGAGAGCACTCAAGAAGCTAGAGTTGCACTCGGCTATCGCCTCGTGCAACTCTTACGCATCTTTCGTGCTCTCCAAACTTCCCGCGTGCATCCATAACTCGATATACGCACGCTAAGCATGAACAAATTCTTAATTTTGGAATCCGGTTAGCACAGCTAAAGGATTATCGATTCAGGAATCCAGAATTCCTGTTCCACAGACAACGAATCCTGAATCTAGCCGAAATTCACGGCGTCGAATCCATAATCCAAGAATATTTCGGATTTCCTCACCTGGAGTGGCAAAAGCATCAATTTTGTTATATAAAAAAGCGCGAGTTTATATTTGAAGAAATCAATTCGAAAGCCCCATACTAATGCTTCATTTTTGCACCTCAAGTTAGTCGAAAGTTGTTCCTTTTTCAACGTGACATAAAAATGACTTAATCAAGGTAAATATCCTGTGATATATAGTACCACACTTATTAGTATTTTCTAATATTGAAAGTGGAATAGTTTGTAATAAGGAAAGGTCGTTATTCATCAAAAGCGTGATGCATAATTTCATAAGGCATTAAAATATTCATTGTTTTGTTCATTACTTTCTAAATGTTAGCTTGGCTCAGGCGCCGACAATCAGGTCTGTTATATAGACATGTCAAAAGGTGTGAAACTCAAAGCGAAATCAAGGCACTAAATTTTTCTTTCTAATTATTATTATTATTGCTTTCTAAACTGGTGTTAGGTTGGCGCAAGCGAAAATCAGTACTATGAAAAGTTCTTGGATCAAATCAGCCATGTGATGTACAAAGGTACGTGGGATCATTGGGAGGAAGTATCCCGACATTTTGTGAATGCTGTACTCTGAAAGTAATAGATACCTTTGATTCTAAGACGAGGACGACTACAAGGATTAATACTAAGCAGTGCTTGTGCAAGAACAAGCGTCATTTTGGCGGAAAACTAGAAAGTCGTCGTCATTCTAATACGAGTTTTTGCAAGAAATGTCGGCGTAGTAGCGGAAACGAGTTATGAAAAATGTTAGAGGTTTTGTCATTTTACGACCGGAAGAGGGTTTAACCTCCTTCAATAAAGCTAACAGTGCTAACTTTTCTGGTGGAAAAAAAGTACAATGAAGTTTTTTGGGGTGTTCACAGTTTTTGAGGCAAAAAAAACCTGAAGTCAAATCTCGTACTAGCTCGTAATAGTTCCCGTCTTAGAATCTAAAGGTCTCTAATCTTAAATAAACGAGCTGGAGCGTTCTCGATCATTTCTGTGGCGTTCAAAACAAAATTTTCTCGTAAAGGAGGAGCTTTTTCCCAGATAGTTTGAGGCTGACCCCACACTGAATCGTTTGGTTTCAAAAGTATCTCACACTCGAGATGAGAAACAACTAAATGGAAAAACAAAGAAGGGATGCTTCGCGAATGCCCGAATGATAGCATGAAAATACAGCCACCTCTCATCATTACTCCTCGTTGCTGGGACTCTTCGCGTAATTTATGAGACTAGAACGCAAACGCCACTCCTGCGATGAAATGTCCCAACTGTGGGCGATGGTATTCCGAGGTTAATTAACTGCAACTCGTTGAGGCAGGTCGTTGAATAGATGTGTAATATGCACATTGAATGTGACTGGCACTCTATTTGCTTTTAAGACGGACTTTTTAAAAAAGCTAACATTTGTGCTCTTGCTTAACCCATCTTTATCCTTCCAGTTGCACGGTATTGCTGTTTTTTCTTTTGACAAAAATACTCATACTGTATTTCATATATCTTGCAAGTTGTTTAATTGTGTTTTAAATCACAATTCGTCTTTCGATCCACAGGTAACGAAACAACATTTTCAGCCTTTAACCTTATGGATCTCCTACCAACCGACATGACCAAGTATTTCCGGTACCCAGGCTCCCTAACAACCCCGACCTGCAATGAGGCTGTTACCTGGACTGTTTTCAACGATACTGTCAAGATATCGCAGGCTCAGGTAAAACTTACAATTTCTTGTTTTTGGACAGGGGTTTTCTTTGGTTCATTTATGTTTTTCTTACTTGTATCAGGAACCAATAACCCGGAGCGAGCAACTCCCTTGTGATCATGCAAAGGTTTTGAATATCAAATAAGTCTAACAAATCAGTCATCAAAAACCAGAGACTAGAAAAATGTATTTGTGATGTTTTCAGCGTTTACTTCTTCTTTTTGTACTTATATCGTAGTATGGATGCGCACGCATACAGAACAGTGCTTCCCTTTACGCTCATCTGCCTTACGCTAGAAAACTGATCAAAATTGATACTAAAAATATCTTGATCTGTGAGTTGCACGCTGCGGGTTATGGGCTCCCGCTTCAATACAGCTCCTGTTAAACTTTTTGTCGAGGCCATCAAGCACTTAAGCTTAAGTGTTGCATTGAAACTACTCGCCTGCAGCTTGTTGTTCCATTTGAGGTTTGGGCTCCTGATGGTCGATAAGAGTACAGACCATAAAAATCTGATTGTTGTCGAATTGTTGAATGACAGGTCCCTCAGGAAACAAGTTAGCAAGTTAAATCTTGTTTCCCTATCATCGCGATAAACTGAGACACAAAAAATACTTTCTCCCTCTGGTCATTAGCTGCTTTCTTGGTATTTTCTTGATGTTCTCAAAATCAAATTCTTTTGACTTACATACATTTAAGTAGCCAAAGAGTACGTTAATTGTCTAAAGAAAGTAGGTGCTTAGTTTAAAACTAACAGTCTTCAATTGGCTTGTCATCCTGTGGGGATTGGACAGACAAGAAATTGTACAGGGTAATATTAAAACTGAAGCCTCTTTTAGGACAAGAAAACGTTCCCATTTCTTTCGGGATTAATACTTTTGGCTCACACATTTTACCTTAAAACTTTTAGAGAGTCTTTTTTAAGTTACTATTCTGAATTCTAGAGATGGGGACCCCAAAATTAGTTCGCAGACCATAACCGTCAATAAAAAATCTGAATATACAACCAACCTACCCCCCCCCCCTCCCGTCACTCTCTCCCTTTGAAATACGACAGCCCCACTTGTTACCCGCTGCCCAACAAACTCAAACTCCCCGATTTGCGTTATTGCTACACTTTAATTACCCTGTAAAAAGACGTAGTTATATTTTTGTTTTCGTTCTTTTCGAAAACATCGGCGAGCGCGCAAGCGAAGCGATCGTGCGAGAACGAGTGCGAAGTGCGAGAAATAAAATTAAAGTCTCTTTTCTCCTTCCCCACCCCTACTCCCTTGCGCTGGCGGTCAACAAATCCGCGGTTTTTGTTTTTTATCACGCGCGCTCGACGGACTTTGAAGAGAAAATAGAGTTTCTGTGAACAGGCTACATTTTGATGCACTTTACGAAGAATTCTGATCTTTGTTTGTGATTGGCTCAAACATTAATTTGACTTTAGCAAGGGAATCATAATGTTTTGTAACCAAACATACACACGAAGATTTCCCTTCGCAACATCTCTCACGTGAAGCATTTTTTGGAGAAATTTGTCGTAATAATTAGTATGCAAGAATTAAAAAGTGTAAGCGTACCACAGGTAGCCAAAGTTCGGTGCATAGATTACCGCCTGTTTTCATGATACTGATCTGCATAATACGAATGATTTACAGGCTATGTATGAGAAATCTAATATAGTCAGGTTAAAAGGTAAAAAATATAGACACAAATATAGAATAAATTTCACTTACGTAAACTTGGGTTTCTTGATGCTTTTTCTGTGTAACCTGAGCTCAGTTTATGGCCATTGTGCACGGTTTTGCGGCTCGTTGTTTGTTCGGTGTTGTTTTCTTACATAATACGAAGCAAGGCAGATTACTGTGTGCAGTCTCAACTCACAAATCAAAGAACAGCGCACCGATTCGGCATGAGAGCCACAAATCATTTTAAGGCCAGATAAATTTCTCATCTCTTCCCCTCGTCATGGGTATTGCAATGCGTTTTTGGTGGGAAAAACTGCTGAAAGCGTTCGTTTCTGGGCAATCTGGCGTGCGCTCAGGAAACTCGATGACTACGCGTTGCGTGGTGAACGCGCACACTTTAAATACGCTCCTCTCATTGGCTAAATGCAAACACTTCTCGCGCCCAATCAGCGGACTATCTGAGGGTGGGAAGATCCAGGATTCATCTTTTGGTAAAGAAATGAAATCCATTTTCTTTTTCTCTTTACAGCTGGATAACCTGCGTTCCATGAAGTACAACGACTCCGCAAACATTGTTGACAATTATCGCCCTGTTCAGCCTCTCCACGACCGCCAAGTGAAAGCCAGCTTTGGCGAGCCAAAGACTACCCCTCCTGTTACAATCGATGGTGTTGCTCTCCAAATATCCAATGTCGTATTGCTGTTGATGCTCCTCCTGACAGCAGCCCTCTTTCATTAAATTGTCTACAAGTCGCTCCATGTAAGGGAATCAGGATTCCGGAATCTTGAAAATGTTTGCTTGTAGAATCCGGAATCCGGGAACATTTTGCTTGTGGAATCGGAAACCTTGGCTTCTGCAATCAGAAATACAGCTCAAGGAATCCAGAGTCTCACTGACAAAGACTGGAATCCGGTGCCTGGAATCCGGAATGCGGAATCCGGAATCCAGGGCATGGAATCTAAAATCGAATACTGTCTTGAATTCCCCTATATGGGGCGACGCAAGACTAGGTTCTCTACCCGATGGGGTGGGAATGAGGAGGATCCTCTGTGTAGTATTTTTGTGTGGTTGTGAGGATATCATGGGTAACATGCGAGTGGTACTTCGATACTACAATGCCAAACCGAGTCACATTCAAAAACATTTTCATTCTGTTCTAGCTACTGGCCTCCATCCTCTCATGCTACCGGACATTATATTTCTAACCATATAAGTCCGAAAACTATCCTAACGTATTCTAAAACAAAAGTGCGTGTAATTTCTATCACACATCCCATACTGAGCTGATTGTCAATGATATCCTCTTTGGCGCTTTATTTTCATAAATTTTACATAAGGGAGATCCTCCTCCCCTGCCCATTATTTACTAACTTCCAGTTACTGTGTGACTTCCAATAAAAATTCTGGGAGCTTAGTAGTTATAGATTGCACTTCGCTGGCTGTTAAGTTTATGTTCCTTTAGTACTTATTTAGAACTAAACTTAAAGAAATATATTTTGCTCTCAAGCACTTTTTATTTACTTTCAATTATTAAGCACTCAGTCAGTTGGTGACAGATTATGACTTTGAATACCACATCCCTCATTGTGAGGTTATTCTTAGATCTCTGACCGGCTATTCCTTTTACAAACGTATATAGCGGCACTGTAGTCCATCGCACCGAGGAGTAATCTCTTGGACTGTTTATGCTTATAATATTATGGCGCCCCATTACCTTGTTTGGCGAGAAGAGCACTGCCCACAATCATTGGTGCTGATGACCAAGTGGGTTGGCCAACAGCGTTAAGAGAGGTTTATTTGAGCCCGTAAGGCCGTGTGGTATAGTCGAGCATGCATAATCAGCGCTCTGCTGACGGAGTATGAAATAATTGTAGCACAAAAGAGGTAATAAACGCATACAAGTTGGAAATTTCCTCTAATTCTTGTGTTTTTTCGTTTCTTGTCCCACGCAACCCTACACACTTAGTCACCTCACGAGTTCATTGTCTGCCATTATATTATACTAATATAAAAAAGTCGAAGCAATCTAATCAGCCAAATATCAACCGACTGGGATAAGAAAAAGCGCACGTCAATTTTGAGTGAAAACAACAAAATATGTTGAAATCGATCAGAACTAAAACTGCATGAAAAGTAGAAGTGAGCACGCAAAGGGTCATTGAACATTGCATTCACTTTAGGTTTGTATCGAAACTACCGACTTCGGTTGTATCGAAATTAATTCACCTCAAATGATAAATGTGGATGATTCCTGTGCATTGTAAGTCACCCCTTGATAAGAATTGCGAGAAGTTTGCCTAAACGCAATCTTTATAAATCTTTCCATTTTGAGCATCCGTGACCATTTTTGACGTCACGACAGCCACAGTGCAAAACAATCAAAATACGGCCATGTTTATGTACCAAAGAAAACCCATGGGGATTGAACTCTCATGTGCAAACTTTGTTTTGCTCCAAGTAATTTGTCTAGCTGGTGATCACGTGAGTGAAAATGATCTATACCTGGTTGGAGCATGCGCACCTCTTTTACATTTTAGTCGTTCATACGTCAGCAGTGAAATTGCCTAAACAGTGCAGTGTGACCTAGCCCTTTAAAGTAAATCGGTTTATCCATTTCCTTGCTAACCACTAACTACGATTGAAATTGACAGAGTTGGCATGGTTTTTTAAATGAAGCGTCTTTATTTCTTTGCCCAGTTTAATACAATACATGAAATGGCGGTGCTTATGCAAATATCAGTTTAAAGTGAATCCTTTGAGTTTTATTTTGCGTTTTTCCCTTTTTCTTTTTTTTACATTTTTTCTCGTATATGGCTTTTTCTCCCACCAACTCAACTAACGCACGAAAAAACTGAAAATCCATCAGAACTCGTAATAAAACCTTGCAGCCTATATCAAGCGCCGAGCGACGCATGCAAAAAAGCACGTTGGTTTTAATTTGCTTCTGATTGGATGAGCATCAGTCAAACGTGCGTGTTTTCCCAATCACTGGACGCAGAAATTTGTAACCTGTAATTCCGCAAATTTTAGCAACGTTTTTAAGTGGTTCGTTTGCGAAAGTTTTGTTGGTGTCTCTCACCAGAATATTTCCGAGAGCAGACGGAAAATTCTTTACCCAAGAGCAGTTGCCTTGTTGTCGTGGAGTGGGTTTCTGTCTAAGTTCTCATTTATCTTAGGAGCTATCCAGTAAAAATTATTCAGGATTGGTAGAAGGGTGAACCCCGAGACTTTCGTTTCACGGGAGAAAGGGGGTGGGATACTAATTTAACCATCAGTATCCCCCAAAAAAACGACTGCAGACAATCCAAAGAAAAAAAAATAGGAAGACTGCAATGGTGATAGCGAGGAGGATACATATAGAAGTAATATGTTTGCCTGTGTGGTAGAAAGATGATAGGGTTGCCTAAGACCAAACTGCTAGTGAGGAGTAGAATATACCAAAAACCACTTGCGAAGGGGCCCACTCCGGACTAATGCCTCTGATCAAGAGCAAAAAATGATAAGGTGAGGGTTGAACAAAAACAGAGCGTGATCACAGGTTACAGATTCCTGTCAGTTTTCTAGAAGCTTCCGAGGCAGCAGTAGCCCTAACTTCTGACTAGTCTTGGAATGTCATTTCATGAATGACTCTGCTAAAAGGCTAATAGATTAGAAACTACATCAGCGTTCAATATACCCTAGTTCTAATGCTGCACAAAAAGAGCTGTCAGGGCAGCAAGCAACATCGAAAGTCCTGCGGTGATTCGAACAGCAGATGAGCCCAAGTCAAATTCGACAGTTGGAGCTGGGGGTGATTCCTCAGCACCCGTGGTAGTAATAACAATAGAAGAGGCACTGTCAGTGCCTGTCACTTTGTTACTGGGAGTGTTCTTGGTGGTTGAAGCTGAGGATGATTTCTCTGCACCCTTAGTAGCAATACCAGTAGAAGAGATAGGAGACTGCGTACCCTTTGGGGTAGTGTGGGTTGTGGTAGTGGTGGTACCCTTCACATCAGTGGTGCTAGCAGTGGTTCTTAGCATTGAGTTGTTTGACATCCCGGGGACCTGGAAACTAGCCCTCACGGTTCGGTTGTAGAGTGGTTGAACGGGACGGTAATTTCCAACACTTACTGTGGTGTAAGTCTTCTGGAGTTGCCGCAGAAGGTTCATCTGGGAAAAAGAGACCCATAGTTGAAAAATACCCTGCTCAAGAGGCATTCTCTATTTTCACAAAAAAAGAGGCTTTCTTTTGACAAAAGCGTTTGCGGCAAATGTTGAAAAACACCGTACAACACTTGCTATCAAGTCAATACTGTACCTGATATTGCGATACGTTGACAGCGTCCCTAAAAACAGTCCATGTGACACTTTCTTTGCAAGAGGGAGTGGTTAGAGAACCACTGTACCGGAAGTACTTGGTCTTATTGGCAGGTAACACGCTGTCAAATCTAAAAGCTGGGACGCCACTGACGGAAGAGTCTAAAGAAAGAGACAAAAACGTGCATTCTTATTATAACATGAAATGATATATTATGGGGTATACTCTATAAGATGTGATATTCACAGTTATAATTTTCATAATAATTACAGGGTAATAACAATGATTTATTATTATTATTATTATTATTATTATTATTATTATTATTATTATAACAATAACAATAATATATTTCACATCATTCTGTTGGGGTGCAGTTTTTCATGTTATGGAAAAAGCCTCATTTATATCATACAGAGAACACATCACTTACAACTAGAAGTGAGATTCCGGGTAGTTTCCAAAAAGGAAAATGCAGAGTTATTGTTCCCTCCGACCTGAAAAAAATATATTAACAGTGAAATTAAAAGAAATTCACACTGATGAACTTAGTTAATTTCCAAAGAAGGATTGTCCAATACACAAATGAAAAATTTAAATTTGTATTGTCTTTAGTTAATCAATCGTGAGCAGAAACGAAAACAAAGCACTTAAGGAGTTGGCGATTTCGCTGAGATTTTAAGAGAAAGGTAGATTTCTTTTGTTATAAGAATGTTGTTTTCTTCGGTCCAGCCTGAATATTCCTATTTTTCTGACGATTTTAGGCTGAAAATATTCTTGTATTATTCTTAAATTGTATAGCTTATAGCATTTCCGTTTTCGGCCGGTGATCTACTGGGGTGTCAATTGTAGTTAGTACAGGTTTTTTCGTTTTGTGATAGATGCATATGAAATAAATCAAATAAGAACTTGTCGTTTAGAGAAAGGAATAAGTTAAAAACATAGAATTTAATTCTATCTACAGATTTTCAACCGACAAAATTATTATATATCCTTTTCAAAATCTCAGCCTGTCTGGTTTATTCTTAAAATTTCGCAAATTTCACGGCACTGACGGCATCCTGCAGTCAACTTTAGTATCAGTAAAACTTCATCTTACAAGTGTACCTGTATGAAGATACCAAGGACGGCGAGGCCATCTTCTTTTTCAAGTGCTTGCATAAGGTTGGCATATTTTGTATTGTAGCTTACGAAGTGCAACTGTGAAAGTAAGGGAATAACAAAATTCAATACCAGATACGGACATTAAACCCAACAGTACAAGTGGTAATAAAAGAAAGTTTATGTTGTCTTAACCCTTAAAAACGGTTCATTATTGAAAGCAATGCGCCAAATTCTTTTTAGGTATTGGGAGATTAAATTGAAAAGATTTATTGACACTATTATCTTCTTTAAACTGCTGTGGAGATCATTGATTTAAGAGAACGGCCTGATTTCTTGAGGTCTCCTAAGAAGGCGCAAATAGGAGGTGAATGTACATAACAGATAAGCAAAGTAAACGCTTAATAACAACATCAAAAAATGCCCATCTGTATGCACTCATTTGCTCACACAGCGCTCACCTCAGCGGCGTAATGTTCTCCATCTACAATGTGTTCCGATCCCACAGTGTCGTTTGGTCCATAATGAAAGTGAAACTGAACAGTGGTGTAAACACCGTTCAGACCTCCTCCGCTGACATTGTACACTCCTCCAGGGAAAGACATTCCAAAGGAATGGCCATTGTTTGAGCCAGTAAAGGTTTTCTTGAGCTTCCTGTCGTAGTTTTTCAGTGTGAACGCACCCAAACCTTTGTCATGGGTTGTCTCGGTGCTTGTAATGTCAATTGGTGATTGTCTCTTTCCTGTACTGCATACACCAGCCCAGTTAGCAGGACCTGAAAGGGAACAGGGCATGTTTGGAATAAGAACTTTTAAAAAGCACTTTTAATAGAATGACGTGTCGGTGAAAAGCTGGTTAGAAACGTGGGAGAATTTTCACTTTTCATCGCCTGACAGATTTAACGAAAACTGATGGACAGTAAAAACGAAATGTTAATATTTTCTCACCAACATTAGCATTCGGAAGGTAGCTCCGACAATTTTTGCCGTTTAATGACGTTACTTTTTCCTCCTAGTTGGGGAATTAAGGAGGCGATGGATGAATATAAAAGGAAAAGAATTGCAACTGAATTATAGGATAAATTCTTTGACCATTCCAGCCGCCAGTAGCAAGCGAGGGGATGACTAAGTGTTGCCTAGCAGACTAACTTATTAAATGTTTTAATGACCTCTTTTTTAATTCCCCAATTTATTTATTTTTATCACTTTCACCATTCCATATTTTGAAAGCCTTGAAAAATTATTCATCAACAGAACACCCATAATGTCCCAAAATGGTTCATGGCTCAAAAGAATGAAAAAACTGCATCGTAGTGTTGATACTCATGCCGTGAGTGCTGAGTCAGAAATATCTGTTTACAAAGTATTTTTTTAGTTTCATGTAATTGAAAAAACCAGCGAATGGCCAATTAGACACAACTCAATTCTAGCGTTAAAGGAGGAATAAATTAGTAAAAAAAAATGTTTTCCGAAAGGATCTAAAGCGGCATAATAAGTAAATATTCAGTCTTACCCAGAACGGCATTTGGAATATATGTCCATGGTAAACCTGAAAGATAAGAATGCATAATAAAAGGATTGCCATCAGTTATATCCTCAACGTGACCTTACAAAGACTAAATTGTATATGACACTAACTCTTCAAAACTCTCCTAAGAGCGATTTCTGTATGTGTATCACGAAGAGCTCACACCTTATCGATCAGCACTGTCAAGACTACTTTTTCTCAGTTCGTTTAACTTTTGTAATAAAAAACGACCTCGTAGCTTTCCATGCATTCCCAGGCGAAAAACAAGCCTGTTTCGATCAATTACTACACATTACAACATTTTAAGAACAATGCTTTGCAAATAACAGCTCAAATTTACCTACCCGACTGCTGGCTGAAGGCAAGATGTGACCAGTTTACACAAAGAAATGCGATTAAAAGAAATCGATGCATAATGACTTTATTGCTGTGAACAAAAAAGAAGAGAAAATATATTTCATACATCATTATGATCGGCAAAAATCAAAAGTTACGACAAAGATCAGTAATAAAATATCACATTTGTAAAGCACTTATATACAAATATACACGAAAGTTTTCCCTTCTTTTCTCTCCGTCAAAAAGGTAAATGCAGTTGTAAAGTGAACTGTCTATAAAGATGAATAAGTAAAGCATGCTACTGTTCAAAATGTTATAGATTTTCAATTTGTCTAAAGTGTCGTGGTAATAAAAACTACTGACAGCATACTAGAACATTAGTCATAAATATATTGTCTATTAAAGTACACTATCATGGATTCATTTCACGAAGTTAAAGCCTGAATAATAGTTTCATGTATTAAGTAGCACGATCATCAGCTAGATCGATAGCAAATCAGGAAAATGAAACAAAATTAGCAGAACCCCAGGCCTTAGATGAAAAGCCATCCATTGTCATAAATTCAAATTAAACCATTACTGTTCAGACAAGAAAATTGAAAGTAAACATGCACCAATCTGGCATTCGATTCACAATTAGAACTCTTGTATTGTTGTGTTTTGTTTCTTTTCCTGGGACGATTTCTGATCAATCCTCACATGTATTCTGGCGGTTAGTGTCATTGGTTCATCACTTTCCAAAAAATAACCAAGCTAATTACACCGATAAAGACTAAGAAGAGAATCGCTTCAAGCTGATAAACAAATATTGAAGACAAAAATGAAGGGAAAAGGGCAAGATCTTCGTTCATCTTCGTTGTAATTAATGATATTATGTCTTCCCCCACAGTTCACTGACAGTCCTCGCAAGTTGCACGCGCATTTTTCTTAATTGAAAAGAGCAAAAGAGAGGCAGTAAAATTTATCATTTCTCCCTTTTCCAACCTGATTGGAACTAATAACCACACAATTAAAAATCTGTGTGGAAAAGATGTGGACTTTTGCTTACGTTCTCCCATGCCATTTCAGTTCTAGCCGAGCCAAATATAGAGTCACCCTTATGTAACTTTAGGCGCCGTGTAATACAATGTGTATTCAACTAGGCAACTTATCTTGCAAAGGAATCCGCAATGTGCTCGTCTGCCAGTAAATTATAGGTTGACAAATATAATGAACTGTGTATAATTAACTGTGTTTCTGATAGGAAAAATAGAACAATGTTTTACAAATTCAAAAAGCAGAAGTGATCAAAGGTAACCTCTCTCAAATGTTCCTTTGTAGGGAGAAATGTAATGAACTTGTACTAATAAGACTTGTTCTCCAGGGTGTGCATAGTTTATCAGATTTTTTAATGGTGAACAGCCCAAGGTTAATTCAGGTTCTGAACTATCTTGGAACAATACTGATAGCTGACAGTTGAAAGGAAAGCCAAAGCAATCGATTTGGACGTATTAATCCTTTTATTGTTTCAAACTGTTCCCACCTTTTTTTGGTTGAAATTTAGTTGGTCTATTTTTTTTTCCATTTAGTTTGTGATTAACCAGAATAGCTAAAGGCTGCCTCGAATATCACGCTTGTTAACCAAGATTAGTTTAATGTGCCTCACGAAACATTCTTCAGTTTCTTTTTCTAGAGAAAAGTGAGTTCCTTTAATAAGTTGGTATTGGAAAGTTGCGGTTTCATAGGTCGTCTTACACTACTAAAGAAAACCGACATTGTAAACAAGAATCAACACAAGAAGATTGAAATAAAAACTGATCCCTTAGAGTGGCCAATATCTAGCACACAAAACCAATTACTTTCATTCAGAAAAATACCCTGAGGAATTCAGCAAAAGTTAACTGCTAAAAAAGAAACATCGTTTCTCTTTCATTGACTAAACAAGAAAAAGATCCATTGATGAGCAGCTCATGTATATGACTTATTAAGGCTTTTCTTTCCATGCACAATATCATGTTATCTATCGTAGTCTAGCTGAAGACAGCATTTTTGCGAAAGGTTCTTTTTTCGCCACGGAAGGATAAAGAAATTCTACTGAAAAACGGGGGAGACTGAAAACTGAAGACTGAAAACGGCCAAACATTAATAAATTGTTCCTCTTGACTTAAATTAAAACTCCGGTGCCTGTGCTCACTCGACTCAAGCTTTGTTTTCCAATTCCTGATAGCTAACTCATTTTGTATATTCTCAGTGCATTTCGAACAAGGTCTTAACAATAATTTTTTAACATATGTGATTTCATGACACAGACACTCCCTTTCAGATCAAAGTCCAAAAACACCAACCGCGTGCTAACTCGGGTGAAAAGAAAGTAGTTCTTAGGACGAATATATGGAGCATATCGGCCCATGTGTTTATTTCAACATTTAACCATCGCAAATTGTTGCTATGAGGAGCTAAAACTGAAGAAAAGGCGAAAATTAAACTGTTCGAAACTACCTTAAAATTTGTAAGCATGATCCTAGAGCTGAAAGGATTCAAGATTTCTAAAACTGGACCTCTTAGTATATAATTCATTCTAACTGAATTCCGCTGCTTACAACTGCAAGAGCTTCGAAAGCAAACTGAACTAAGAAAAAGCTAGTGTTTTGGTTGCAAACCTCCCCTTTTGCGATTTTTCCGCAAATCATGTGTTCATGTTAATTATCTTATTTATGCTACCCCTAATCGCTACATCCTATGTTTTTAGGATTAATCACTTAAAACTTGAACACAAATTATAAGTACCAGCATTTGTCTTTTTGCTAGCTTGTACATAATACACTCACTCAAGAAGATACCACATTTTTGCAAAGGAAACTACACTTAAACTTACCTTTAAAATGAGGTACAGTAGTTAGTCTTTCAGGGCGACAAAAGTTCGTACTGTTTGTACCAGCTGTAGAAAATCAGCCAAATGTTTTTAAAGATGAAATAAAAGAAGAAATCGCTGGAAAAAAAAGCCTTTGATGAGTGTTGCGATCGCTGCGATCACTAGAGATAATAAGAAAAATTGAAGGTTAACTCTGCGGTCGAAGCGATCGGAGTAAACACTAAAAAGAATTAAGATTTTATGGCCTTTTATATCTTCAACTTAGAGCTAATTAAAATTAAAATATTTCAAAATATTGTGATATTCTAAGGAGGGAATATCTCAATATTAATAGTTCACTTCGACTGCTTTGTTTTGGCGATATTTGTCCAAATAATGTTGGTTTGTTTTGGCAACTTTTTTTTTTTAATCACCTCACGTTTTATAAGTTCGTGCAATGTTCAAAAATACCAAAAACTCGCTTTTGACAAACACATATGCCGGGTCAAAGTTGAATATTCCAAAGAAAGAGTGTTTTGTCGGAGAAAAAAAGTGAAACAAGCTGAAAATAAATATTGGAATGTCGTCAAAACTTGGTGACATAATTACGTAAGATCGCGGTATTGTTAAACAATGTAAAATACACACGAACTGTCAACAGTTAGTCGTCTGTTATGACAAATCATTTAGAATACACTTAACACTCTCTTAACTGTAGGCATATAATGATGTCCATAATACACATTCTCAGGAGGGGCAAATACTCACCTCTCTGTGGAGGGAGCCAGTCGCCAAAGGTGTGTAATCACATGTGAACACTGGTTTTGGCAAAACGGGAAGCATTCTCATGCAAACATTCCAATTACAACTTCAATCTAGATATATGATTGACTTTTAAATCGCAAGAAACAGTTCTAAAAAAGGTGAGGAAAGAGGAAATTTGATTGGACGAAGGCTATAAGAACAATCAAACTTTGAGTTTTAGGAAGTTTACACCTCGCAGTATAATTGAAAAACCCTAACCCTAATCCACCTCCCTCCCCCCTCCGGACGCTATATACATTCGTATTTGTGCCGATCTGTTTAGTGACACGTCTTTAGCGTGTGAATGATATCATTGCCGACTTGTTTTTGTCTCCAACCACACCGTCCTTTCCAGCAGAACAAAAACTGGCCTATAAATGTGCAAACTTTACGTGTATAAAATCAGTCTGGGGTGTGGCGAGCTGGTAAATTGTAAAACAACTGATTTTATAAACATTTATTGCTTTTGCAGAATAGAGAAATCACATATTGTGTGCATCAAGGTAATATACGTTATAAACACGCTCAATTGCAGACCCGGTGTCTTTTCTAAGCAATAAAATATTGATTACAAACTGCTTCCTGAAACCATTAAAGTCATTGATATCTTGGTTTTAAAACATCTTATAGCGATGTTTTCTTTCTGTAGTTTAGAAAAAGATTTAACTGCGAAGAATCTGTACTTACTAACAGTTAAGACGTGACCAAACGTAAACGTCACGCCCAACGTTTTTTTATATATTGCATTTCATATGCAGTGGTATTACACAGTAGTTTATAGATGTCAATCTTGACTTAGCGGCTATATTTAGACCACAAAGTCCATTCAGTCCAAAAGTAAGGTACTTTAAACCCTATTAAGGATATACTTGCTGAGTACTACTAAAATTGCACGATTGTGACAGCTTTAATATACAACAATGATCATTATTCATGTCTGTTTGGAAAAGGATGGTAACCCTTTAATTTTAAGTCATGCAAAGTATAGTTGTAAATGGGTTTTCAAAGCCATTTACATGGTAAAACAAGCAAGAACAAGCCAAACATAAGCAAGCAACATGCAAAACTGTCAGGCAGTACCACACTCGATTATTCACTGTATGAAACATCCACGTGATAGACAGGCGGTAGTTTAGCCGGTAACTTATTGCCAAGGTCACAGACCTTCTGCTTCCCATACATTTCTCTGCTGTGTTTTTCAAGGGAACGACAACATGGAGAAAGAGGAACTTGACATCAATTACAAGTCACAAACGACGCTTTCGTTGACATAATGGTTTTCCTTAAAAGTTCAACGACGAAAAAAAAGAGTTGTTTAAAAGGATCAGGAGTGGCATCGAACCTTCACATCAGCATCAATGGTTTCAGTTCCAGAACCGAAGCTCGCCAGAGTTGCTGACAAAGGACTGAATCGACAGATTAATATTGGCGTTTCTAACCATGGTATTAATATTTAGCGATTATATCTCGTCAACACACACTCAGGAATATTGCACTGTATACCTGGATCTCACGAGAGTTGTTGTGTTCCTATCATAAAGGCCCGAAAATTATGTACCCTCACGTATAAAAATGCACGTGAGGGGGTCACACGCACGTGCGAACGTGTCAAGAAAAAGTGAAAATGCAACTGGAATGAATGGTTAGTTGCCTTAAGCGCACAACAAAAAGAAGAAAAAAGTCTCGTTTAAAAGGATCAGGAGTGACATCGAACCTTCAAATCAGCATCAATGAATGATCTCAGTTCCAGAACCGAAGCAAGTCAGAGTTGCTGACAAGGGACTGAATCTATAGATTAATATAGGTGTTTCAGACTATGGTATTAATATTTATCGATTATATTTCTTCAACACACAGGAATGTTGAACCGTGGATCTCACGAGAGTTGTTGTGTTCGCAACATAAAGGCCCGAAGATTATGTATCCTCACGTGAATATATGCACGTGAGGGGGTCACACATGCGAACGTGTCAAGAAAAAGTGAAAATACAATAGGAATGAATGGTTTGTTTAAGCCCCATAGACTTAAAGTAATCTCTTGTCGCCTCCCGGCCATAAAAATGCTGAAAGAGCAATATCTATTATCAAGCTGCAGAACAAATGAGTAAAACTGGCTCTATGATGGACTAAATAATAATGGGTATAATAAAAAGGAGGTTTTCAAAATGCCTTAAATAATCAAACCATCGATCTTGTCAGACAAACAAACTGAGTTGTTTGGAAGTTATCAGGAGTTGAATGCGACATAAAAATTCAGTCTCTTTTACGTCTTTTGTTACTGCTGCAATGTAATTTTATACGATGTAGTCTGCCTGTTTTATCATAACCGGCAACGTTTGATTCACCGGTCTGCACTGATGCCTCACCTCGCCTCGCCCTCGCCTGAGTCACCTTACCTCTCTCGCGGTTGGAACTATTGGATGAGGTGCGGACAGGAGTCTCGCCACTTTTTCACTCGGTTAAAGATAACAACGCAGAAAAGCGCTGGAGGTTTGTATAAAGCTTGGCGTTGAGACTAAGTCAAACTGTGTTACTTCAACACTAGATGTGTTATAGTTTGAGCCCAGTTAACTTGACTGGTCGTGCCTTTAGGAATTTATTCACAGACCCAGATCCTAATAGGACTTCCCTGAAATCGAAAAGAGGAAAGCCGCTCTGACTTGTATGTGAGACCAAATAGAGCTATAGTGCGGTTTACTTTCACGCAAAATTTATTAAATTCATTTGAGGACTCATGAAAGAAAGAATCAGCTCATATCAAAATATTCAAAAAGCCCTCGTCACCCACGTACAAAGGAATCATCAAGGTAGACCTTCTCTTCGAATGATCATTTTAGGAAGAAGTGAGAAACGTCTGGTTTCATCTGAACCTCTCGAACACTAAGTATAGAGTGACGATAGTAAATTGTAATGCAGAACATATAGGAATGTCAGTCCAGATGAGTATATAGCTGTATATAGTACTCACTAGGACTATTGCTGACAATGACTGACGTTTCGACAACCTGTGCAGTAGTCAACATCAGAGTCAAAATGCTTTGTACCGTTTAAATCATGGTGTTTAACTCTAACTATTGACATTATTAGTCAACTGTTAATTAGAACGCAACTTCAGATGCTATTGGTTTTCTTTCAGTCAAATCGTTATTACGTGAGTGGTTACTTTTTCCTTTGGTTTTTTCAAATTTTTCATACGATTGAGTTAGTAATTATGAGGGTGTCTCCACCTTCAAATCATTCTCTTTGTAGACACCAAACTACTTTTTACTTTTGGTTAGCTGAAGCTGCAGCTTGAGTAAGTGATCTTAGTTATCAAACAAATACCCAGTCAATTGGAGAGACAAGTTACCGTCAACATCATGAGATGAGAAAACCATATGAGACTTATCAGTACTGCTTCGGTTTTTTGGATGAAAAGAGGGATCTGGTGACCTCAGTGACAAAACTGTACCCCTGTACTCACGGCATATTACTAGGTTTAAAAATATCGAAAAGAGTTAGCCGTTTTAAATTCTCAAACATTGGTGTGTCGTTGCAGATGTGATTTACAAGGAAGAGATATTTATGCTTTGTACATGTGGAAGGTTGCCAGAACTAAAGTTGATCTCTTAAAATTGCGTGTTGTTGTGTGCCACATAGTTCAAGTGTTTGTCACAAGAGTAGAAGAGAGACGTAGCCAGCCTGTGGACAGTCACCCGCTTGCTTTTTCTACCCTTTTTTCGGATAACCTTAAAATACCAAGACTTTTCCCAGAAATTGTTGCATTTAGTCAATTTTATGCAGAAGGTTTACAGGCTACCATAAAAAAGTAACTTCTTGAGGATCGTTAAATATTATTCGCACGTGTTGGGCACGTGAAGAGGTTCAAATTTCCACTTGGGTTATAAAGCCCTACAATACAGTGACTGTAACGGAACTCAAACACCACGTCTCGGCAGCTTAATTACGTAATTCACTTGTGTGCCATTTTTCTCCCTCGTAAAAACGGCCGGTTTTCTTCATCACTTTCGAGTTAAAAGTCTAAGATTTCTTTCAGAGAAGTTTAGAATATATCAGTACTTATTAAAATCGCCCCTTGCATGGAAATACAAGACAGTCAAGGATTCTGGATTCCAAATTGCGGATTCCGGATTCCAAGTAATGAATTACAGATTCCTTGTCAGTGAAACTTGGATTCCAGCCAGTTCCAATCGCTAGCGGACTTCGGGATTCCTTGAGCTGAATAACGGATTTAAAGTTCCAGGATTTCTGATTCCAGAAGCAAGAATTTCCTGGATTCCGGAGCCGGATTACCTTATATGGGGACATGGGGCAACTGAAACCTTTTACTGGTTCGTTCACAAGAAGCCATCGAAAACAAAATCTATCACGTATTCCCCAAGTTTCGATAACCTTAATTCCCGTGATGGCTTTTGTCCAGTTCGCAATAGATAATGTTGTTATAATTCCTCTCATTTTAACTCGCGATTTGGGCAGAAGTGACATAGTTTTAACACAATCGAGCTTCAAAGATAACAATAAACTACATGGCGGGGCAATAAAATTATAATGAATAGGTCATTCCGTCCGGTTTATTTTGCAATGCTTGATATTTCAGCTTATTTCTACTGCTACTCAGTCTACCAAGGTCGTACCTGGCTCTTTCTTTTGTTCAGAGTGTAATTTGTTACATAATTTGTAAAGTTACGTGACAGATACGAACGTTTTCGGTTTTATTTACTGAATAATAAGTAGAACTGGGTGAGGTTCAATAGCGTGTCTTTGGGTTTTTTTCCACAACTAAATATACACGCCAAATATTTTGTTCTGCATTCGAGGATACTCAATTCTGTCACAGGAGAAGTTAGTCATAAAGAGACCGTGACAGTGTTAACAGCGTTTCAGATTTTTATATTGCTCAATATGAAAACCTGCTAGAAAGTTTCTCATTAGTGTACATGCGTGTATCATAACACTTGCTCGTGTTACAGGGGCACCCAACGAGATTATAGTTAAACATAGCATTGTTAAACGTATCCTAGTATTTAAACGGTAGATAAAGGCATATTTTTATCCCCTAAAAATTTTTGATCTGTTCGGATTTCCTAGCTGAAAGTCTAGTGATCCGAAAATTATAGGGATCAAAACTTACCTTCGAAAATTTCAGCCAGAAAAAAGGCTCCTGAAAATTATAGGTGACCTTTTTAGGGTAAAAATCCGTTGAAAATAGGCAATTATACCATTTTTTAGATGTTCGAAAATCCTAGGAGAGGCAGGCAAGCAAGAAATTTTGCAACAAATGTTCCGAAAATTCTAGATCTCAAATCGTCTTCCGAACAGATATTTTTCCGAAAATTGTCGTTGGGTGCCCCTGGTGTTAGTAATCTTGTAAAGTAAGCACTGCATTGCTGTCAATTCAAAGACTCTTAGGTTTTATATTCTTGCAGCTATTCCTTTGCTTTTATCATAGCAATAATTATTGTTAACTTTGATTGCTTACAGTCACTTTTGAGTCATTTAGGAAGTATGAAATGATTTAGGACCGCTGTTAAACTTCCAGCACCGTATTACTTAACATAACCCCGACTTTTGATACGCGCATATGTGTGAGCTGTAATACTAACAGCTGGTCAACCAAAAAGCATAGTGGTCCATGTTTTGATAATTCTTCAAGGCAGAGCAACTTCGCAGTTTTCCTCTAAACATTGATCTTTGGAGTGAAAATTGTATGAATAATGAGTACCTCAATGTATAATCTACTTGATAAACTATTTAAAGAGGTCAAAATCTGATTTCTGTTCATAAACCACCCAAAAAATGCTGCGAACTTGACCAGCTTTAGCAATCAATGATTCCCCGAGTACAGGGAAAATGCAATATTTAACACTTAGTAAATGTTAAAACTCCGCCCTATCCCGGGGTCGGGTGGTCGGAGGTTTCAATTAGTACATTAAGCCCATGCTAAATGTTACAACTTTTTTAACGCGAAATGTTACAATGCAAAATGTAACAACTCAGTTCTTTAAAGAGAAAAGCAATTTGGTCCTGTCACGAGACCCGCCTGATAGTGTAATGAGTCGTTGTAAGTGGACTTTTCACTGGCGGTTGCTTCGAAAGAGGATACTGCAGAGTAATTTAAGAGATTTTTCAAAAACACTCGGAAGCCAAAAGAAAGTGCTTCCGTTCTTGCATGTTTCTTCCTGCTTGAAAGTATTACAGAGCTATATTCAGTTCAAATCAGAAGTTCCGATTTCACTTTTCAGTGAAAGGAAAACTATAACTGTCTGTTGGTTCAAGTTTGCTCAACAACTAGACGCTGGACTGCGAAGCTGATTTAATAAAAAACAAACACTGTAGCGATTTCCTTCGCTAGACCAAGAAGTTGCGTTTCCAGTTTCTCCGCATAGTAAAGACAAAGACCGTTCGCGTGTAAAGTTTATTTGTAAAGTGTGCAAGAACACAATATCCAGAGGATATTAACAAGTGTTCTCCTTCTAGATTGAGCCCAAGCACTCTCAGCCAACTTAATATAGAGAGCCCCACTTTTGCTAGAGCCACTAGTATCTTAATGGAATGAATCACTGGAAGCAATTTGTTTTTCCTTACTAGTTTAACACAAGAGAGGATTGGCAAGGGGTCCAACAGTAACTCTAAGAGTAACCAACCGAACTTCTTTTGTCTTTGTGAACTACAATATTCATGATTACACACTATAAAATCCTTAATTCTCGAACCCCTCGTTTTCTCAAACCTCCCTAATCCAGATTTTTTCAACCTCTAATTTCTCAGATTTCCGCGAAAGGCTTATGAGCTCTAGACCTTTGATTCTGTCCTTTTTTGAGGGTTCAAGCCTTGCGAAGTTTTCAACTTTTCGGCGTCCTCTTTTTGTTAAATTTTCTTGTGTCAGTTTGCGGAATGAGTTGATCTACACACAAAGATGTGATCTGCATGAGTAGACAAAACATCCTGAAGTCTTCTTGAATTATATTGCAATGTTTATCAGTGGTTTATACGGATCTTCCATAACACATTATTTTTTAAATCGTCTCGTTTCATTTTAAAGCTACGACTTCGAGAGGGAAAACGCCACCGGAAAATAAGGAATTTAGTTTGCAGTTTTAGAACTGACTGCTTAAACGCAGTTCAGGAAAGTTTTTTTTTTCTTTTATGAGAGAAAAACTACTTCCTGTGCTAAATATTGGGCAAGTTGATGGCTTTTAAATTCACCCTTCTCGTGTTGATTCTTGTTTACAGTGTTGGGTTTCTTTTGAAACCGGAATGATCTATCAGGCCTACTCTGGGACCTTAAGTCGCCGTATTTTTGTGCGAAACCGACTTTAGGAAAATTCCCTCTCGACTTTTTCGATTTTGTCTTTAGGGGGCTTAAGATGACGCAATTCAGTTTTATTTAAATGACGATTCAGTTTTATTTAAATGAGATCCACCTATCATAGTTAAATGCAATTATATTAAATCGGTCTATAGCTCAGCAAAGAAACACTTAACTTACAAAGCTAAAAAGATAAAACACTATTTACATTTTGAAGAGATAAAAAATTTCCTTTACTATTTTGTTGGTAATAATTTACATGTTACGTTATTGAGTTAATACTAAGTTGGTTGGGTTCATTTTTCAGTTGCGTGCGTCCATATGAATAGATCACTTGTCATAAATTTTTATTGATATTGCCTTAATAACTTCAATGTAGGAGAAAAGAGAGACTATACGGTGAACCTTTTTGGTGTGCAGTCTAACTTCTATGGCCTTTACATGAGTTTGTAGAGAAAATTTTACGGTGTTACAAAAAAAGTATCAGGATAGAGATTCGTGTAAATCCTCTGTCATTCTGTTCACGAGTGCATACATTATTTTTGTTTGGCTGGTGCCATTGAACGTCACTAGAGGACGTAACTGCTTACATCCAGCGTTTAAATGAAGATTTTTTGCTAGACTAAAAGTCAGACGTTAGCTGTCACGCCCAACACTACACGTTTCTTAACTGGAGCCTCCGAGGACAAATGTCGGTTACACTTTGGTATTGAAAAGAACCTTTTCTTTAAGAACACTGAGGTTGAGAATGTGAAAAACAATAGAGAAATAAAAAATTAAACTAAAAATGTCCTTAGATCAGTCATAACACAGGATGAGGTTCAGCAATTAGGCCCGCGCCTGGCGTATTACTATATTGCATTCGTCGCCAATAATATTGACTCTGTTGTCAATGTTTTGATCTCTTTCTCTCTTCCTCAAATCGCTGCGGTTTTGGTTTGTGTTTCTGCTTATCAATGGGTCTCCCTTTTCGCTTTCGTCAAAGCCTGGCTTGCGAAGGGAGCCACTTTGAAGTATAACGAGTGACGCCGCAGGTGAAGGTGAAGGTTAGACGAAAGTACAGTGTGATCACCGAATTACAGATTCCTCAAAGTTGGCAAATGAGGAGCTTCTGAGGCAGTAATCACCCATACTTCCGATCCATCTTGGAATGTCATTTCAAACGTGACTATATGCTGCCAGACAGTTGGATGGGAAACAGTGGGTTGGATGGGAATTTTCACGACAAGACAAGTTGAACAAGACAGTTGGATAGGAAACTTCACCATTAACTCAGCATCCGCGTGACCTCGCACTAATGCTGCACTGCAAAAAGAACTGTCATAGCAAAAAGCATCGACAGTCCAGCAGTGATTCGATCAGCAGATGATCCCAGGTCGAATTCAACAGTTGGAGCTGGCGGTGATTCCTCCGCACCTGTAGTAGCAGTAGATGAGGCTGAGGATGATTTCTCTGCACCCTTGGAAACCATACCAGTGGAAGAGGCAGGAGACTGCGTACCTTTAGGGGGAGTTATGGTGGTAGTGCCAGTGGTACTGGTAGTAGTGTTGATCGTTGTAGAAGAGCTGTTTGTCCTATCGGCGGCTTGGAAACTAGCCCTTACGGTTCGGTTGAAGAGTGGCTGCACAGGACGGTAATTTCCGACACTTGATGTGGTATGAGTCTTCTGGAGTTGACGCAGAAGGTTCATCTGGGAAAAAACAAACAGAAAGGGTAAGGGGCCGACCATTTAACTCTTGGGGGGGGGTGGGTGATTTTGAAAAAAAATTTCCTGCAAGCGCTTGTCGGAAGAAAAAAATTGCATGCAGCACAAATGTAATAAAGAGCTTAAGGGAAAAAAAAGGAAAAAAAATATCCTGCCCACCATATTGCTAGAAAAAAAAAATTCTTGATGACCAGAAATCACCCACCCCCACCCTCAAGAGTTAAATGGTCGGCCCCTAAGGGACCCTGCTATCGAGGCGTTCACTAATTTCATCAAAAATAGACTCCTTGATCCAACAAACGCGTTTGTACCGGACAAATTAATTTAAAACGCAGCGGTCTGAAGAAGTTTTAAACACAAGTTAAATTTTCCAGTCAATACTGTACCTGGTACTGTGATATGTTGACAGCGTCCCTAAAGACTGTCCACGTGACACTCTCTTTGCAAGAAGGAGTTGTGAGAGAACCGTCGTACCGGAAGTACTTGGTCTTATTGGCAGGTAACAGGCTGTCAAATCTGAAGGCTGGAATGCCACTGATGGTAGAATCTGTGAAACAAGTAACAGGCGCAGATTAATAGAATAATAGTGTTATATGTAATAATTATATATAAAGCATAACATGTTTAATAAATTGTTTTTAAAGTAAAACCTTATTTTAATAATGGCACGATTTTAAATGTTATGAAAAAAATTCTAATATAATAGGGAAAACACGTCACTTACAACTTGAAGTAAGATTTCTGGTAGTTTCCAAGAATGAAAATGCGGTGTTATTTTCCCCTCCGACCTGAGAAAAAAAAGAGTGAAAAGGAATTCACGTTAATCAACGTTTGGTAAGAGGGATCATTCCCACTACACAGATAAAATTTAACTTGGAATGTATTAATTTTATCAATCGAAGGAGCCCAGATTCAGTTGGAAAAGAAACCAATTGCCAAAGGCAGTTAGCCATTTCATTAAGTCTTTGGAGTCAGAGATTTAGAGAGATGACGGATAGATCCACCGTCACCACGGGCCAACGACACAGTCGCCCAGTGTCTACATTTATAGACAACCTGATGAGGGACGCTGGAGCGACATCCGGCAACTGTCAGCCTGCATGGACGTCAACAGAGCGGACTGGGCGGCCCGGCGACTAGTCTGGCTGAGGCCGCCTGAATCAATGAATGAATAAAGAATAAGCTAGTCTTTAAATCCTAGTTACCTGTATGAAGAGACCAAGAACTGCAAGACCATCTTCCTGGTCGATTGCTTGAACAAGGTTGTCATATTTCGTATTGTAGCTGACAAAGTGCAACTGTGAAAGTATAATTAAGGGAAAAAAACATTGAACATTCGATGCCAATTCAGTTAAATCTAACAGACTAATAATTTTCCTGTTGGTTTAGTCGTTACAGATGGTTTATTATTGGAAGCAAATTAACCAAATTCAGGCTAAAAATCGAGAAGAAAGATCTCTCGGAATCATGATCATCGCTCTTGATTGCTGTGGAAATAGATGTCATTGTCTCGACGCACAGAGGTAATTATTTCCTATTCAGACTCGGAAGTCTATAAAAGATGAGCAGAGTCTCTCAAGATGTTTGTAGGGGCAACAGATGGAAACAAAGTGGCATAAAAGGTAGAGAAAATGCTTGATGACAAAAGCACAAAGTGAGGAGCAATGTAAACGCACTTATTTGTTCACAAGCGCTCACCTCAGCGGCATAATGTTCTCCGTCTACAATGTGTTCCGATCCCACAGTGTCGTTTGGTCCGTAATGTAAGTGAAACTGAACAGTGGTGTAAACACCGTTCAAACCGCCTCCGCTGACATTGTATACTCCTGCAGGGAAAGACAATCCAAAGGCGTAGCCTGTGTTGGAGCCAGTAAAGGTTTTGTTGAGTTTCCTGTCGTAGTTTTTCAGTGTGAACTCGCCCAGGCCTTTGTCAAAAGTTACCTCGGTGCTTTTAATGTCAATTGGTGATTGCCTCTTTCCTGTGCTGCATATCCCAGACCAGTTAGAAGGGCCTAAATATGGAAAGAAAATTCACACAGGCTTAGGACTGAGCCGGCTTAGAGGAAATAAACTTTTGCAAAATGAACACATAACTAGGCCATCTGCCAGCTTGTGCAAGGACGTAGTTAAGTGTTATAGCAGGACTGACTACCTATGTGTCTTATTGCCATCAATTATCAGTGTCATATTTTAATTTTCATTGCCTTCATCTTAATTGACCTTTTTTCAAGTCCGCAGCCTTTATATGAGTTACTTCCCAACACTAAAATGCCACATCATGGTCTTTGGTGCGTTTTTGGATAACGAGAAATCGAAGCGTTGATACAGATATTTCATTGCTAAAACATGTAGCCAATATTATCGATAATTTCTCCGCGAGCGATGTATTTTCCACATATTTTTTTATTTATAACAAATTTCCCATATCTTGACTATGACTAGCAGATGGCCGTTTTGACAAGTTTAAACTAAATACTAGGAATGGAAAAAAGAATCCATAAAGAATATTGATTGCAAATGACAGCTTGTGTTAGATTCCTTTCATAAATATAGTACCGGATCGTAAGGATGTATCGCTAAAAAGTATTTTGTAAATTCTTACCCAGTAGAGCATCCGGAATATACGTCCATTCCACAGCTGAAAGATTTGAATATCATAAGGATTGTCATCAGTCACACCCTCAGCTTGACTCTTTTATCATAATATTCCCCCATTAATTAACTCTCTCTCAGCTGAAATTTCCGTATGTCCAAGTTGGAAAAACCTGGCACGTACCTTACTGAGTCACTCAAAGACCTAACCCAGGGTTAATGCAAAATTTCGATTCAGGTATGAAAGCTTAAAAAGCAAATTCAGCTTTATTCTTTTTGCAAACAACTTGATGATTTGATGCTCTAAAAAGAATCGAGAAAATTATCCCGCTGAAAAATGCTTTTGAACAAAGGAAAAGGAGACCCGGGTTAAAATTTAACCCTGGGTTAGCGCTAATCCCCCTTCGAACAACTGGGTCCTTAAGTTTATTTCGTTTAACCTTCTAACTCACTGTACCCTGCCACCAGGCCTTTCTCTCTCTAAGACGGACACCTTTGGGACCAGCCCTACGTGTGGGCCTTAGATAGATGTCCGTCGTATTGAGAGAGTCAAATAATGGGAGTAAAATAAGGAAGGGACGAACTCTTGGTGTCAGAGTTGTCTGTCTTGTAGAGGTGTCCATTAAGAGGGAGTCGATTGTTCTCGAGAAGAGGAGGCTCTGCTGGCAAAGTGTCGCACTCTTCAAGATCTAATGCATCCTGCTGGCAGCTAAACTTTTTTAATACCAATATTAATTGTAAATCGCATGACAGTTTACTTACGCCGTTGGCTGAAGACAAGATATGACCAGTTGATACAAAGAAATGAAATGAGAAGAAATCGATCCATGATTACTTTATTGCTGTAAACGAAATAAAAACAGAGAGAGAGATGATACACGCGTTAAAGAAAAAAACGAGCAAATCAAGCAAATATGGATAATAAAATTTTGGCGCCGTCGTTATTTTGTAGAGCAATTAGACGAAGGACATGTTTCCGCTTTTGTCAAGCCCTATCGGGATAATTTAGAAATATAAAGAGTTTATTTTTAGATTTTACTAGAAGCTGAAAGTCGCAACAATCAAAATTAAACTATTGAGGCACACCACTTGTCATAAATATAAATAATTGTTCAAATACTATTAGCATGTATTACTAGACAAGAACAAAGGCATCGGCTAGATCGTCGATAGCGAAACAAGAAAAAAAAAAGTAGTAAGACCAAAGGCATTAGATGGAAAATTATACACTGTGATTGAAATCTTAGCAAGTTAGAGATGCACAAAGCTCAGATCACAATGTTAGGTGAATGTACAGAACTGGCATTCCCTTTGCAACCCTTAGCTCGAGTTTCATATTATTTCGTTGAAACTTTCCTAGAAAAATTTCAGTGCTAACAATAAGATTCATGTTTGATTAGTTGATCAGATAATCGCTTTTCAACAACGAACCAACAAAAGTCACCACTTACATGTAAAGAGGCGAATCATTTCAAGCCAATAAACAAATATCAGAAGGGCCAAGATCTCTTGTCGCGATTAGTGATATTTGACTTGCCGCCGATACATTTTTCCAGCACGTGAAGGCGCACGTGTACACGCCGTATTAGAGGAAGGCCAAAAAAAGTTGAATTTCGCATTTTTTTGCCTTTTTCAACTACCTCAATCCAGCCAATAACCAAACTGAGAACTGTGTAGAAAGGATGTCCAAAACCGGTTTACACTTTCGATAGGACACCCTGAGCAATCGATTGGGACACTGAATCAAAGAACTGTTACTTTCGAACTGCTCTCTTATAGGTTAAAATTATATTTATGTCCTATTTTATTTCTGATTATTTTTCCTTTTTCGTTTGCAAATTAAGATTAGCTAGAAAAGCTCCATGCTGACTCGAATATCAAGCTTATTGGGGATGATATGGATAATATGTGTAGAACGAAACTATAGGTTTTTTTGAATTTATTTTTACTGTCTTTAGTCCTGTAAATGATTTATTTCGGTTCGGTACATGAACAAAAGTTGCGGTTTCATAGATCGTCATCCACTTTTAAAGAAAGGCGAAACTGTAAACATGAATCAACACAAGAAGAATGAGGAGTGGCCGATATTTGGCATACGAAACAAAAAGGTACTTTCCTTTATAAAAGTACGAATGTATTTCAGACATTAACAAGGAACTGAACAAGGAACATCGTGCGGAATACCTTGAACATGCTTAGCACGCCCCGAAATGAACGGGAAAAAGATATATTGCTGAGAGCACAGTACAATGTTAACATGAGAAAGAACTCTACGTTTTTCCTTCAATGCACAATATAATACTGATCATTTAAATCTAGCTAAAGACAGCACGCTAAAGACAGCATTTTTACTTGAAGATTTATGTGTATAAACTAACTCTATTAAAAAACGAAGGAGACGGACTAAACAAGAAAAAAGTCGTTGTGAAATTCCGGTCTGCTCACTCAGTTCCCTTTATCACGTCACGATATAACTTCCAATCACTTTTGTTGCCTTTTGAGAAAACCAGCAACTTTCAGACCGTAACAACGTTAACGGTCTTTCTAAAATTTTTTAACAGATGTGCTCTCATGATACGGACATTCCCTTTGAGATCAAAGTCCAAGAACACAATCGTGTGCTAACTCGGGTGAAAAAAAAAACTGCAGCTATTTAAGAAGGAATATAATGAGCATACCGGCCCGTTTGCTTTTTGAACATCTAACGATGGTAAATTAAAAACATTTTTCGGTCATGCTTTCTTTAAAATGAAGAAAACTAACAATAAAGCGGAAGCTAGACCGTTCGCTTATCGACTTCAACAACTGAATCGCGTAAAAAGAGGTGTGATATTCTTTCTACAAGCCCTTCGAAGACAAATAAAATCAAGGATAGGCTAGTTTTGGTTACTGCATATTGCGGTTATTCGGTCCGATTACAAATGTTACGATACCCGCTATTTCCTATATTTTTGGGATCAATCACTAAAAACCGGTACACAAATTATAAATACCAGCTTTTGTCTGCTGGTTCAGGGTTGTGAACACCATTTACACTCAATTAATCTGATACCACATTATTATAAACGAAATTAAACTAAAACCTTACCTTTGAAATGGGTACGTTTAGTCCTTCAGGGAAATAATTGTTCGTGCTGCTTGTACCAGATTAGGAAATGACCGTAGAAAATCAGCCAAATATTTCCAAAGATGAAATAAAGAAAGAAATCGTAGAGAAAAAGGCCTTTGATGAGTGCTGCGATTGCTGCGATCACTAAAGAAAATGAAAAAGTCCACGTTTTAATCAGCGACGGAGGCGATCGTGGTTAACACTAAAACGAAGTAAGATTTTATGGCCTTTTATATCTTCAGCTTAAAGCTAATTAAAATTAAAATGTCTCAAAATATTGCGATATTCTAAGAAGGGAATATTTTAATATTTATAGCTCACTTCGACTGTTTTGTGTTAGCAATATTTATCAAAATAATTTGGGTTTGTTTTGACAACATAATATTTTCTTTCTTCATTTTGCAATAGATTTACGAGTCTTGGATTCATACAACTTTTTTATGTACAAAAATTCCCTGTTAACAAACACGTATGCCGAATCAAAATTGCAATTTTAAGGAGATAATCCACAAAAGGGGTTACCTATTGAAGGCAAAAAAGTGAAACAAGCTGAAAGCAAATATCACATATTGGAATATTGAAACAAGTGTTGACGTCATTACGTAACATCGCGGGATTGTTAAACAATACAAAAAGCGCAACTGTCAATTTTTGGTCTTTCATTGCAAATAATTGAAAATGCACTTTACTCAATCTTAACTGCTGGCATTTAATGAACGCCTATAATACATATTTTTAAGAGGGGTGAGTACTTACCTTTCTAAGGAGGGTTTGTATTCACTTTCAGTGTGTAGCCAGTTTCTACAAAACATAATGAGGTTATATATCGAATTCATGTAATCTCAGTTATGAACTGAGATCATTGTAGGTATATAATGCATCACTTTAATAACTTTTATGCACTGTAAAATGCTGAGAAGATTCAGAGAGATGAGATTTAATTGGGTCGCTACAGTTCCACTAAAGACAGCCCTTTCCCCCCACCTACACCCGGACGTTACTGATACTGTTGATGGACAGAAATAAATACAGGCACGTCTGTACTCGTGTGTGAATGACATCATCAAACGTGTTGTTTTATACCCCAGCTACAGGCCTGACAACTGAGGCAGAGTAAAGACACAAAAACTGTGTCTTACATAAAACCATTATCCTGTAGCGCGCTGGTAGACTGTAATACAAAAAATAATAAACATTTATTGCGTAAATTTTACAGAACAAAAATTTTATAATAAATATTATGCAAGTTAAGATAATATAGGTTATAAATACGTTTAACTAGTTACAGACCCAGTGTCTTCTTTATCCAATGAGATATTGATTTCTAAAAACATTAAAATCATTGATGCCCTAGGTGTTAAAACAACATAATAACGACGTCTCCTTCACCAGGTTTTAAAAAGGATTTAATTCCAATGAGTGCACTTACAGATGTTCAAGTAAGCAAATGAAGACGTCGTGGCTTAAGATTTTTCTTCATATTGCATATCGTATGCAATGATTTTACACAATTCATAATCACGGTAAAGTTGACGGACAGTGGTATATTTAGACCACAAAATCTCCTCAGACTTAAGTGGGGTACTAGAAGCCCCATTAAGTATATACTTGCTGAGTCAGAACAATATTGCATGAGACTTTTTGTGACAACTTTAGTAGCCGGCTGGACACAATGTTCCTTTACCTCTGACTGGGGAAAGATGAAATGCTATAAGAAGGACTAAGTCATGAAAAGCATAGCTGTTGAGGTTTTGCAAAGTCATTTAGTGGTAGACCAAGCGAGCACTTAGCCAAACACAGGCGCGCAATGTGCATAGATTTGGTGATACGAAATACTAGATTATTCACTAATAAAACATTCACGTGGTAGACACGTGGTAGTTTATCAGGGGACTGATTGCCAAGATCACTGGCATTTTGTTTTTCCATACATTACTCTGGCTGTGTTTCCAAGAGAACGATGTCATCGAGATGAGAGCATCTTGACATCAAGAATACGTACTCATCTGCAGAATGGTTGTCTTAAACGTAAAGGAAAAGAAAAAAACTCTTGTTTAAAAGGATCAGGATTGAGATGCAGCCTTTACATCAACACCGATGAATTCAGTTCTAGAACTCAAGCTAGCCAGAGTTGATGACAAGGGATGAATCTACCGATTAATATTGGTGTCTCAGACTATGGTGCTAATATCTGTTATCTCGTCAACACACAAGAATATTGCACTGTAAACCAGGATCTCACGAGAGATGTATTGCTTTATACGCTCACGTGCATATGCACGCGAGTTGATCACACGTGCGAATTGAACGTGTCAAGAAAAAGTAAATATGCAGCACAAGGCGACTGGAATGAATTGTTAGCTTGTGCGGTATAACTTTCTAGCACTGCATCTCTTATCACCAACAAGTTGAATTGAACGATAGTTCCCTCTGATGGGCTGAGTTTTGGAAGCGGAAGTTGAATTCTACCAAAAATACAGGAAGTTGGTTTTAAAAAAATGACGGGATTTTATAGTGTTTAGTATTGTCACATTAGATGAAGCGCTTCTACCTTTTACTTCTGTTGCTGCTGTACTGTTATCATAAGCAAATTACCAGCCTGTACACTGATGCGTCTCCTAGACTCCGGAGACGTCGCCCGTTACCTCTGGCGGGGCCGACAAAGATAGTGATGAGAAAGATACCGACAGAATCAGTCTCAGACCGTAAATTCGCTCTAT